CAATGGCTCGCATTTGTAATTTGCCGGATGCCCGCACAATTCTGCCTCTTCGCATCAATTCAACGGATGTGTGTTGAGGGAGTCTGGGGATTAGGGATTGTCCCTCCATTTTCTCCCAAATGACACTCTTGGAGCTTTATGACACTCATGACACTCGCGAGCTGAGCTGCGGTTCTGGGGCACCGGTGTATCTGCCGGGGAGACCCCAGGGTCGAGGGCACGCAGGGCCGCGCATCCCCTGAAGGCCGCCAGAGGGCGCGCGAGACCGGGCCCCTGTTCGCGGCCTCGCAGGGAAGCCGGGGGCGAAGGGGCGCGGCCGCTGCGGGGGGCCACCCTAAGCACGCACAGGGCCCTTCTTTTCCCAGTTACCACCCGGTTGCTTGCCTTAGACGACAAGCGCTGCGCCGCGCCGCTCCCTCCACACCACCCTCTGTCTCCCACCCTCCCAGCCCTTATCCGCCCATTTTCCCGTCTTTCTTTGCTTCCAGCCCAACCCTCCTTTGCACCTTGCATTTTCCCATGCGCCCATCACCCCCATTTCCTCGCCTTCCTTTGTGCTCCTTTATCCCTGGCTCTGAGGCTCCTTATTTTAAAAGACCATGTGGGCCCTGACCAGGTAGTTCAGCTGATTAGAATATCCTCTGGATATGCCAAGGTTGCAGGTTCCATCCCCCACTTAGGGTACATACAAGAATCAACCAAGGAATACATAAATAAGTGGAACAACAAAGTGATGTTTCTCTCTTTCTCCCTTCCTTCCTCTCTCAAATCGGTTTTTTTTTTAAAAGACCATTTAGAGAAAAACATGGAAGGACATACTCCTAGCTGTGAACATGGCCCATGGGCCAGGGAGGAGACAGTTGCTCTTCAATGAATATCTTGCTTAGTTCCATATGTTCCAAGAAGAAGGAGATTTGAGAAACACTCATTAGATTAATTCAAGTGTAAAGTATTTTCTTCCTTTGAGCTGGACCCTGGGGTCACAGAAGATTCTGAAAGCCCTGAGCCCTCCAGGATCTGGACGTAGACAAACTGCAGCCCAGGACTGGACAGAGGGGGCAGAGGTTGGTGTAGCCTGGACTTGGATGGGGTGGGGTCAGGGAGACAATGTGGGCTAGGGGCTGCAGGGGCTGGGCCTGGGGGCTCTCTGCCCACACGCACATTTTTTGCCCTGAAATGCTCTCTATGCCTCTGTTATCATCAAGAAAGCCCCAGGGATCAGTGACACATGGGCTCAAGGACAATCACTTCACCAGCTTTGGCTGAGCAAGCCTCAGATGGAGAGAGTGGGAGGGGCCACAGGTTCTGGCCTTCGTGACACTCTTGGAGCTTCAAAGCCCAGCCTTGATCCCGCTTCCCGTGTGGCCTCAGGCAGTTGTCTCCGGCCTCCCTGAACCCCATGAGAAGGATGAGCCAAATGAGCTTACGTGTGGGCAGGGGATTTGGGCACTCAGTGGCTTGTAGAGTCCTGCATCATGGTGCCTGCATCATGGTGCCTCTTGATTCATTCACTCCACAGTCGTTTCTTGAGCACCTACTGTGTAACCAGGCTTTGGGAACATAGTCATGAGTAGGGCAGCCCAGGTCCCTTCCCCCTTGAAGCCCCCCAGTCTAGCAGGGGGCATCAACCACATAAGTGGTCAGTGCTGAACACTCTATCCATAGGACCCCCATGGCATCTGGGGGTACAGGGGTGGCACATCATGCCTTTTTTCCACCCCTCATGTGTCCTGTTTGGAGGAGCCAGCAGGAAGGCAGTTTGTGGCATGGACTCCAGCATCCACTTGTGATGTGATAAAGGCTTATGAATGAATCCCCCCTGCTGCAGGTGATCAGGCAGCCAGAACAGAGAGGGGCAGAGCAAGTCAGCTTTAGTACCCCCCCTCCCCCAAACCTCTACCATCTCAGGGAACAGTAGCTCAGAGGTTTAGGAAGATGCTGACTTAAATGTCCAGGGCACCCCAGTCTGCCAACATGGCTGAAATGCACAGTCCCTATTCTTCTTTGAAGAGACTGTTATCTTTCCTCAATGGCTTCATGGCTTTAAGTATGTCACAACCCAGGCCCCGTGGCTTCACAGCCCTTCCTCCACGCCTAACTCCCTCAAAGACAGAAATAAGTTGATCCAAATTCATTGGCATCCAGATCTGTGGTCCCCAGGGAAGCAGGAGGAATGTGGGCCAGGCCGAGGAGGAGCAGGACGCGTTGGTAACAGGCGTAGTCCGCTGCCCGGAGCTGGTGAAAATCACAGAAGAGCGTGACCTGGGAGCCCAGAGGCAGTGGAGGGACAGCTTGGCTCTAAGTCAAATCCTGCAGAAACGAAATTGTTTTGGGAGGGCAGGAGGGAGTGGTCATTTTCTTGGTCCTTTAAATTTTTCAAAACGTTTTTTTCTTACTATAAAAATAACTTGAAATGTGCATTGTTCAAGAAGAAATTGTTTTGATAGTAGACGAGTATAAGGGCAGGCTACCAGGAAGAGAGGATATTAAATATCACTCCTCTTGTTACCTGTACTATGACATTTTGATGGGAATTAAAGGAGACAGTGCATTTAAAGGGCTTATGCCTATCATGGGAACATTGCTCAATAAAACTCACCATTATTAGATCCTTCCAGACTTTTCTATATATCTTTTAAAAACAGCGTAACAAACATGGGATGCTATTACTTTACAATCCATTCTTTTTCCTTTAAAAAAAAAGTATCTTTACACCCCTTTTCAGTAGAATTTCTTTTTTTAGAGCAGTTATAGGTTCACAGCAAAATTAAACAGAAGACAGAGATTTCCCATGTACCCCCTGCCCCTACAGTGCACAGCCTCCCCCACTACCTACATCCCAAGAGTGGTGTATATGTTATAATTGATCAACCTACATTGGCACAGAATTATCACCCAAAGTCCATGGTGTGCATTGGGCTTTACTCCTGGTTTTGTACATCTTATGGCTTTTGATGACATAGCCATCATTTTAGTACCATATGGCAGTGATTTTCAACCTTTTCCATCTCATGGCACACATAAACTTATTACTAAAATTCTGCAGCATACTAAAAAATAGATTTTTTGCCAATCTGACAAAAAAATAGGTAACATTTTGTTTCATTCACACCAAACGGCTATTGTTTTGTTGGCTGTTGTCATTTTTTGTTTGACAATCTAAGGGAAAAGAGGTCGGTGCCTTGACTAAATGGTCAGGTGTTGCATGTTTTTTAAATTCTTGTGGCACATCGGTTGAAAATCACTGCCATATGAAGGAATTTCACTGCCCTAGACTTAGAATCATACATCATGTAGACTTTCTTTCACTCAGCAATATGCCTGTAAAGTTCCTTCGTGTCTTTCCAAGGCTTGATAGCTCATTTGTTTTTAGCACTAATATTCCACCATTCGGATGGACCACAGTTTATCCGTCCATTCACCTGCTGAAAGACATCTTGGTTGTTTCCAATTTGGGGCAATTATGAATAAAGCTGCTAAGACATTCATGTGCCAGTTTTTGTGTGGACATGAGTTTTTAAAAATATTCATCCACAATGCTACATTTATTGCATTCTCTTAGAAAAATGGAGAACTGTTTATGTACCCAATTCATACATATAAAACTTTATACAGAATATGTATAGCACATAAAGGCCTCTGGTACAGCTAAAATCCTGAAGCTACAATTCGGGTAATCCTGCTGCAGGGTCTCCAGTTTATCAAATCTGTGTGTGGACATAAGTTTTCAACTCCATTGGGCAAATACAAAAGGGCGTGACTTCTGACAGTCCACTTTTTTTTTTAAACTTTCACCCAAGGATATTTTTCCATTGCTTCTCAGAGTGAGTGGAAGAGAGAGGGAGAGAAACATCGGTGTGAGAGACACACTTTGATTGGTTGCCTCCTGCACGTGCCCTGACCGGAATTGAACCTGAGACTCTTCAGTTGGTGGGCCAACACTCTAACCACTGAGCCAAACCAGCTAGGGAACAATCCACTTTTTTTCTTTTAATATATCTTCATTGATTTCAGAGAGAGGAAGGGAGAGGGAGATAGAGATAAAAACATCAGTGATGAGAGAGTCACTAATCGGCTGCCTCCTGCATGCCCCAGACTGGGGATTGAGCCAGCAACCCAGGCATGTGGCCTGACCAGGAATCGAACCTCGATCTCCTGGATCCTAGGCCGATGCTCAACTTTTGAGCCATGCCCGGCCAGGCACGATCTACTTTAAAAAAACTGATTAAGGCATTGAAAAGATATTTTTGTACTAATAAACATTCTCCTACAATAGGGGTCAGCAAAGTACAGCCAGATAAGTAGACAGGTAGAAAGATGACAGATGATGATAGATGATGATAGATGATAGATAGATAGATAGATAGATAGATAGATAGATAGATAGATAGATATAGATAGATAGATGATAGATAGATGATAGATAAATAG